TATGGGGACCAATTACATTCAAAGTACCACAGCACGTTTTAAAATCATCATGCTATTCATCCACCTACTAGGCAAACATTTATTGAGCACTGGCTGTTTGCCTGGCCCTGAGAACAGTTCATAAATAGTCCAGACTCTGCAAGAGCAGATCATGTGGAATCAGTGGTGCAATTCTGATGTCCACTGGGTGCAGGGGGCCACATGAATGAGCAGATGAACAGCTGTGAGCTCTGGTGAGCTGGAGAGCAGGTGCCCCAAGTTTTGATAATCTTTTTAACTTTCTGTTTGCCTGGTTTGATCCACTGCCTGTCTTGAAACTCTGATGCAGCCACACCAGAGTTCTGTCTTCCCCTCAAACATTCATTCAACAAACATTTACGGGCACAGAGCCCCTTTCCAACCTTAGAGAAATGGCTAGCAATGGCCAGCCTCATACATTGTGTCCTTGGCTTCACGTGTCTGTTCGTCTTTCTCCCCATAGCGAATTTACATTTCTCATTCAAAACCCTAGGGCAAGTGTCCTTTTCTCTGAAAAATCTTCTCTGACTTGACCCCTAGGAGGGGTGATTGGGTTCCCTCCTCTAGACTCCAACTATGTTTGTGTCCACAGCTCAGCCATGCCTGATGTAGCCTCCCACAACAGAAGATGAACTCCTGAGGGGTGAGTGAAAAACCCTGAGCAGTGACGCCGCTAGGCAGGACTTCCCAGAGGTCTTGGTCCTCCAAGGAGGAGTAGGTATTGTGAAAAGGTGATCTTCTGGAACAGGGCAGGGCAATGTGGGAAAGCAGGAAGCCCTAAGTAGTGCTCAGGGCGGGCAGGGCTGCTGTCCTCTCTCCCTCAGCTGGCAGCTCATAGCTGCCTCTCCAGATGAAGAGGGCCACCACCTGCAGGCCCTAGGGGTCCGTGGCCATTGTGTGCATCAGCCATGGGGTCTGTCCTCCAATAATGACAGACAGCGCTGGGCTGGAAGGAAAAGAGAAGTTACAGGGTATAGGACCCAAGGGCAGAGGCTGAGGAAGGGCCGGGACTACCTAACAACCCTCAGAGCCTGTGGGATCCACCATCCCGGGGCTGATGGTTTCTGGCTCCAGAGCAACCCCCACTGCCTTCTAATACCTCCCCCACCCAGCGGTTAGAGGGATCTCAGGGCAACCCTTCTTTAGTTCCCTCCCAATTTCTCATGCCTCCCAGGAGAAAACTCACACTCCCTGTCACATGGCACATGCTGCCCCTCCTGCCTGTCATACTTTTCTCTGGTGTCTGCTATAGTCAACACTTGCATTATCTTGAAATCTCAACTCCAGCTCTTGAAGAGCTGAATAAACCTCTTTTCTTCATAAATAGTTCTGCCTCAGGGTACTGTGTTGCAGCCACAGAAAATGTACCAGGGAAGATGTTCATGGAGGGCTGCCCACAAAGCTGATCCTGAAGGTTCCCAGGACTCTGGCTCTTATTGAGGGGGTCTCCATGGATTATATTTGCCACCGATATAGTATCTCCTCATTCTCACAGGGGTCCTAGATGTATGACTTGTATCTGCTTTTGCTATGCTGGGGATAGAATGCAGGGCTTCCTCACACGTGCCAGGCAAGTACTCCACCACTGAGTCACACTCCCAATCTATCAGAGGTTTTAAGGCAAGACTCAGAGCCAAATCTTTAGCCTTGGGAACCTGTGGTGTCTTTCTCCATATCAACCCACACTAATGTTTCAGACCACAGATGACAAATGAATGTCAGATCCATGATCACTGTGCTGACTGGTGGCAGCTGCTTGTGCTGTACATTGAGGAGGATTCTTCAGCTGCCTCTATGTTCTACTGGAAGTTGTGTGATTGATTAGTAATGTCTGTCATGGATAGGGAAGGGTAAGCACATAGACGAGTGCCAAGTGTCTGGCATCCTTACAATAGGAACAAATATTTAGTAAAGGAGTTAATGAATTCTGAATCCCATGACATTCCCCCTAAATTTGGCAACTCCCTTTTCTCAAGATGAGCCTGTCCCTCTTGGAGAAGTGTCGTAGCACCTGGCCCCAAAAATCTCAAGGTCACAGGCAGAACTCTCAGTCACTTAAGACTTCTCATAACCGAGACTTGGTTTTCACCCTTTCATTGAATTATCTCAGGGAATTCCCACAGTTCTCCGCCAGGAGCATCTGGAAACTCCATTGCCCGCTGAGGAAACTCTGGCTCCGGGTGGGATGCGATCTTCTCAGGACCACCCAAGGAATTAGCAACAGAAACTCTTCCCATGTCACCTCCCATCCTCCAACAGATGTCAGACATGAGTGGGGGTGGGTTTGGTTTCTCCAAGTCTAGCTTAGCAATTGGACATGGTTCAGTTACTCATTGGCTGAAGGGAGAGGATGTGAATACTTAATCAACCCTTGGGAATCCCCTGGAAAGTCCAGAGGGACCAAGTCTAGCCCAAGAGTTTGGGTATTTGGGGGTTGATTTTCACAACCATTGGTCCCTGCACAAGCCACACTTCTTTATGTCTAAATACTGAATTCTCCTTTGTTCTTGGCACTGAACAGAGCCCTTGATATTTGCGTGCTTGATGAAGCCCTATAGCAGTCCTGGGAGAAGTGGGATTCTGCACACAAGAGAGGAATCTGGGGCTCAGGAGGGCATTCTATGGGCTCAGACCATGTAAGTTGTGTGCACGTGCACACATGTGTGCACAAACAGAAATGCATGCATGAGCAGACACACTCTTGGGTGCCTGTCAAATTGTTACACCCAATCAGTACATCAGTACAGCACATTTTTGGAAGAGCATACATGGGCATAGGGTATGAAGGATGCTGAGAGGCCCAGCAGTGGACTGCACTGGTGCTTCCATTTAGAGGTCCTCTTGGGTGACCAGCTCTTACTCAGATGGATAACCCTACTGGATTCTGGGCACATGTAGGCATGGCCTGATTAGATTGTCCTTGTAAGGCTTTAGAATAGTGACCCAAGCAAGAGGAATGTCTGGGATTCATTCAGGCAGCACACCAAGGTAGTTAATGATGTGATTTCTAGAATAGATGGCCTTGTTCAGTCCAGGAATGCAGCTTTCTACCCTGCCTGACTCTGCCTCAGGCTCTTCATCTGTAAAATGATGCTAGTGGCTGGACCTGTCCTGTAGCTTACTTGCAAAAGTGTCTGATGAGCAGAAAGTTATATTTTAGTGTGCTCACAGCTTGAAGTAATCCCACTGGTTTTCAGGGGCTTCCAAGATCATTTCCAACAGTGAGACTCCTGGAGTATATTTGCTCCCCTGCTTCCCAGAGGAGGGACCCCAGATTTCTCACAGGCTCTGTGAGAACCTGAGACCTTTTCAATCCATTTTTCTCTGCTTAAATAATTCAGAGTCCTTTCTGCTTCCTGTGATCCTGGAAAACTGACCATCGTGTTCATTCTGTCTCATTGCTGTGCAGAACTCACAACCCCCACCGCCTAGATGAATTCTGCCTCCTAAACCAAAGGCCATTTTCTCCCAAACAAATGCATTCCTAGGTTAGGGCTACTGGTAGAGTCCTTGCCTAGCATGTATAAAGCCCCAGAACCACATAAAACACAATGTGGTGCTGCAGGCCTGTAATCCCAGAACCTGGGAGGTTAGAGGCAGAAGGACCACAAGTTCAAGGTCATCCTCAGCTACATACAGAATTCTAGACCAGTCTGGGAGACACAAGACCCTGTCTCAAAAAAACAAAACAAAACAACAACAACAAAATCACCCATCTAGTCTGCCTCTTGCCACTTAGGGAGGGGTTATCTGGTGTTTAAGCAACGTCCCCAAGGGGACACTTAGAACTCCACAGCATAGTGAAGCTACTGGAGGGTTACTAGTCCAACAGCAATAAAGAGAGGCCTGAGGGGCATGGAGGGGTTTGTCAAAAGTATGAAACAAGATGGGATGGTTCCTAACTCAGGTGCTTTCAAGAGTCACCAGAGTGGGGTGGGACATGGCTGTGGGCCATGTGGGACATGGTGAAAACCTTGTCACCACACTCATCCACTCTGTTCTCTGCTCACTTGTCCCCATTGTTTAAGCTCAGCACTGCCTTGGAGGCTTTACATGTGCTGTTCTCACGGTCTATAACTCCATCTTACTGCTGCCCCCCCCCCCCACATCCACTCAGTCTGGCCACTCTTGTTTTATAACATGTGTGAGTGTTTTGTCTGTGTGTGTATCTGGGCACCATGTGTGTTTCTGGGGCCCTTTGAGGCCAAAAGAGGGCGTTGGACCCCTAGGACTAATAGTCAAAGATGGTTGTGAACTGCCCTGTGGGTGCTGGGAATCAAACCAGGGTCCTCTAGAAGAGCAGTCAAATCTCCTCTTCGTTGGATTTCTGATCAATTCCATTCCTTCTCAGCAGTTAACTCTTTTATTATTATTATTATTATTATTATTATTATTATTATTATTATTATTATCATCGTGTTCCTCTGTTTCTTGTCCATTCCCGGTAGAAGACACCCCCAGCCCCCAGGACAGGTTGTCGCTGTTGTTCCGGCTCAGCACTTGGCACAGTGTTTGATAATAAACGGTTAACTCCAGAGCCATCCCACAGAAAACCGAGTACAGAGCACGTTGGGTCGGGGCTTTTAAACAACACACCTTCTCCCTTCATGCTTGGTTCCAGAGACCGGGGGCTGCTAGGTGAAGGCACCGGCAGGGTGGGTGTCTGGGACGCCCTGTGCTCTGCCTCACAGCAATCGGGTCTCTGTCATGGGAGCTTCAAGTTCTTGACGGCTGTGTTAGCCACCACCCTAAGCCTGAGATTGGACTGTCAGGACCAATATTGACCTCTGCTCCCCAATTCCAGGATGCTGTCCTCACCAGCGTCGTCTCCACCACCTCCCCATTTTACAGGTCAAGAAACTGAGGCTCAGGTGACAAAATGACTTGCAGATAGGGACAAGAAGCCAGTTCTGACTCGGCAGTCTTGAGTGGAGACTCTGGAGGGGGAGCGGGGCAGTGCCAAGCACCCCCAGACGGCTCAAGTGGCCTCTGCAGGGGGTGCGGGGTGGGCGGAAGGCTGCCCTCCCATCACCCGCGGCGGCTGCGGGGCGGGCGCAGGGCGAGGCGTCGCACAAAGGGCCGCTGTCCCGTCGCCGCCCCGCCCCCCGCCGGTGGCCCGCCTCTCCCCACCATTCCCTCTCTCGCCTACTCAGTCTGGGTCCCCTCTCCTTCTTCCCTGTCCAGGGCAGGCTGCCCCTCGGGATGAGGCCGGGTTGAGAGTCCCCTGCCCACTCGCTTCACTAGCTCCAGGGCTAGAAGAGAGCCAGAGCTACACCTCGCCACCGCGGGACAGAGACTGCGGACAGACGCGGGACCCAAGGAGCATCACCATGGTAACGCCCTCCTGGGCCTGGACCACCGCATTCTGCTGGGTTTTCTCCCGGCACAGCCCCGGGTGGGTGTGGGTGCACCCAGCGACCCTCAAGTTCCTAATCTGGTTCAGTGCTTAATTGCACAGCCCCAGCAGGGTTAGGACAAGAGGGGGGCGCAGATCCACCCCTGGGCCGCGTCCTGTCTGGGCCTCTCTGCAGAGATGCACACTTTCATCTCACTCCAAACCAGAATGCAAATCTGAACTGGAATTCTGGACCTTGGGCCATGCAGAAAACTGGGGTGTTTTTAGTACTTTAAACTTTACACTGATTGACAGTGCGTGTCCTGTAGGGGGTTTGGAATGAGGTGGGAATCGAAGTCCCCTCCCAGCACAGCACACTAGTGCTGGGAAAGGGCGGACCTTGAGGGCAGCAGCGTGCATAAGAGGGAATTGCTCACCAACTCTTGGGTGTGCTTGCAATTTTAGACGCCTGGATTTGGCAAGTTAAATGTGCACATGTTGGACCATGAGGTGCTCCCGTAGGCATGAGATGTAGAGGCAACTGGGGGGAAGGCTGGCATGGGGGATGCAGTACCTCTGTGCCTGGGCTTCCTGGACCTGCACCCTGGGAAAGGGACCTCAAGGAGAGTTGTGTGTGCCTTTGTACCAGTATCTGGGAAGATGGACTCGAAATGAAGCCTGTTCCAGAGACTCCTAGCACAGCTCCAGACAGATTCAGGATCCGGCAGGATTCACAGGAGTGATTTTGCAAATCTCGGGGGATTTGGACAGAGCTGGGAGACAGGCCAGGGCATCCACCCCTTGATTCACTGGGCTGGCTTGGGTGGGTTTCCCTTCCTGTGCAGGTCCACACCCAGAATTCTACAGAGAGATGTGTTCACACCATGCATGTGCACACACATCCCTTTCCCTACACTGAACACAGACACACAGGCCTTGTGTACCTGCCTGCTCATACTGAAACATGAACAAACTCCTGTGCACACAGACAGTACAAAACCAGGCTCCTGAATTCAGACACCAGAAGCATGTGTACACACTGCTCTTGGAGCAGTTTAAAGTACATCCTAAGCCAGGGGTTGTCAGCCTCTTTAGCAAGTCTCTGTGCTGGGTACTCTATGTGTGGGGGACATGCCACTCCCAGCAACTGTAACTGTAGACTGTGGCCTCTCACTGCACAGATGGGAACTTGAAGCCCCAGGAGCCTAGGTGACTGACAAAGTCACCCTTCCAGGAAGTGCAAAGAAGGACAGCCAGATTTCTAACCCCACACAGCCACCGTAGTGCCACGGCTATCTGTCAAAAGTCTGGTTTTGATGGAACCATTTGTTCATTTTTAATTTGAGCCTCCCCCACTCTCCAATGAACCTCAGACTCTCAGGTCAAGGATCAGACCTGGGGTGCTCCTCAGAATGGCTGAGAAAGCATTTCCTGAGTGGGTAGGATGGGCACGTTTTCCTGTCTTTGTGTGTATCTTGTGATATGGTGTGAAGGAATGTATGTGTATGTACGTGTGTACGTGAGAGGTGTGCATGATATATCACACGTATGTGTACAGGTGCCTGCATCGCACACAGAAGCCTGAGGAGGGCCTGGGGTGGCAGTCCTCTTCTGTCACTTTTTACCTATTCCTTAGAGTCAGGGTCTCTCCCTGAACCTGGATCTTGCATTTTATTGGCTAGGCTGGAAGGCATCAAGGCCCAGGGATCCTCCCTTGTCTGTCAGTGCTGGGGTTAAAGGCATGTGTGAGACCACAGCCAGGTTGTTATGTGGGCGCCGGGATCTAGTCCACTCCTCTCTCTTTAAATAGCTAATGCTGTCACCCCCCCACACACACACACTTCTCTGATCTCACCATTGTGCCCTGAGCACTCTAGCCTTGTTTCAGAATCCCTTAGGGTTCATGTTCCCTCCTGCCCCAGGACCTTTACATGTGCTGTCTCTGCTGGGAAATTCCTCTTTGTCCTGGTATATTCTCTCACGCCCTGTGCCACTCTCGTCAGAGCATGCCACTCAGGCATGCCTTCGTCATGGCACCAATCTCAGATGTCTTTTTTGGAAGGACAGTTTGAAGAATGGCTTTCCCAGGAATCTTATAGCAAAGGGGTTCATGGCTATCCACCCCATTCCCCTCAAATACAACTTTGACATATCCACTTACTAGAGAACATATTATAAGAAAACAAGGTGAGCTTATTTGTACAGTGTTTTTTAAGAAGTGAACTTACTGTGTAGATAAAATGCATTTGAGTGTGAGGTTTTATATCCTAACTGTGATCAGTCAGTATCTGTTACCATATAAAGAAAGGCACTCAAGTTCTCTGTAAGGCAGGTTAGTGAGTTCTGGCTAGAGGGGGCTAGCCGTGCAGCGCCTCATTCAGGACTGCTCTGTCTCTAGGGTGACTGAGCCCAGTCTAGGGATTTCTCCTCGGTGTCACCAGGAGGGGGAGAGAACTGAAGGAAGTGTGTGTGTGTGTGTGTGTGTGTGTGTGTGTGTGTGTGTGTGTTGTGCGTGTAAATGTTCATGTGTATATACATGTGCGTATGCAAGTGAGTTTATGTGTGTGTACATGCATATGGAGGCAGAAGCTGATGCTGGATGTCTTTGTCTACCACCCTCTGCCTCCCCCCGCCCCTTTTTTTTGAGATGGATCTCTCACTGAGCCTGCTTTGGCAAGGCTAGCTCCATGGATCTCCAGAGGCACTCTCTAGAGGACAGGCCCACACCACCTCACGTGGCTTTCTTTCTTTCTTTTTTCATTCAATGTTACTGATTTTTTTTATTTTTATTTATTTATTTATTTTCTATTATCAGCTTGATACAGTACAAATTCTTATCCTAATAGTGAAATGTTTCACTGAGGCTTGCCCAGTGATTGAGCAAAACCAAAACTTTTTATAAGCCACAGTCATCCTAGGGTCTCCCCTGCTATGTAGCCTCCCTGGTTCTGTGGGTTGTAGTCTGATTGTTCTTTGCTTTATATCTAGTATCCCCTTATGAGTGAGTACATACCATGTTTGTCCTTCTGGGTTTGGGTTACCTCATTCAGGATGATGTTTTCTAGTTCCATCCATTTGCCTGCAAATTTCATACTGTCATTGTTTTTTCTCTGCTGAGTAGTACTCCATTGTGTATATGTACCACATTTTCTTAATCCATTCTTAGGGTTGACAGGCATCTAGGTTGTTTCCAGGTTCTGGCTATTACAAATAGTTCTTCTATGAACATAGTTGAGCATGTATCTTTGTGGTATGATTGAGCATTCCTTGAGTATATGCCCAAGAGTGGTATGGCTGGGTCTTAAGGTAGATCGATTCCCAATTTTCTGAGAAACCGCCATACTGATTTCCACAGTGGTTGTACAAGTTTGCATTCCCACCAACAGTGGAGGAGCCTCACATGGCTTTCTACATGGGTGCTGAGGATCTGAAGTCAGCCTCCCAGATCTTTACTGAGTACTCATTCAGCAAGCACTTGTGTCTGAGCCATCTCCCAGTCCCTGCAGGAAATGGCTTTAAAAATCATTGCATTTGTATTTATTTATTGTGTGTGCATGTATATGTATGCACGTGGATGCATGTGGAGGTCAGAGGAAAACTTGTGGGAATGGGTTCTCTCCTACTGTGTGGGTTCTGGGGATCAAACTCATCATCAGGCTTGGTGGCAAGTGCCTTGACTTGCTGAGCCATTTTGCTGGCTCTGGAGGAGATTTGGTGTTGTGATTTTTAAAGGTGATTGAACCTTGGGCTTCACGCATGTTAAGCAATTGCCCTATCCCTGAGCCGCATCTCCAGCTCTCTTTTTGCTTATTTTATTTTGAGACAGGATCTCACTGAGTTGCCCAGGCTGGCCTTCAACCTGCAACTCTTTTTCATACTTAGAGAGTAGGTAGGTGAGCCCAAGTGGAGTCTATATTTATTGTCGGTAAGCACAGGTGCCATGGAAACCTGGAAAAGAGATGCTTCTCTGGCAGGACTCTGGGTAAAAGCAGTACAGAGTGAGCAGAGAGGGGACATACAGTGTGAGCAGAGAGGGTACATACAGTGTGAGCAGAGAGGGTGCATACAGTGTGAGCAGAGAGGGTGCAGTGTGAGCAGAGAGGGTACAATGTGAGCAGAGAGGGTGCATACAGTGTGAGCAGAGAGGGGACATACAGTGTGAGCAGAGAGGGGACATATAGTGTGAACAGAGAGGGTGCATACAGTGTGAGCAGAGAGGCTGCAGTGTGAGCAGAGAGGGTACAGTGTGAGCAGAGAGGGTACAATGTGAGCAGAGAGGGTGCAGTGTGAGCAGAGAGGGTTCAGTGTGAGCAGAGAGGGTGCATACAGTGTGAGCAGAGAGGGGACATACAGTGTGAGCAGAGAGGGGACATATAGTGTGAACAGAGAGGGTGCATACAGTGTGAGCAGAGAGGCTGCAGTGTGAGCAGAGAGGGTACAGTGTGAGCAGAGAGGGTACAATGTGAGCAGAGAGGCTGCAGTGTGAGCAGAGAGGGTGCAGTATGAGCAGAGAGGGTTCAGTGTGAGCAGAGAGGGTGCAGTGTGAGCAGAGAGGGTGCAGTGTGAGCAGAGAGGATACAGTGTGAGCAGAGAGGGTGCAGTGTGAGCAGAGAGGGTACAGTGTGAGCAGAGAGGGTGCAGTGTGAGCAGAGAGGGTACAGTGTGAGCAGAGAGGGTACAGTGTGAGCAGAGAGGGTACATACAGTGTGAGCAGAGAGGGTACAGTGTGAGCAGAGAGGATACAGTGTGAGCAGAGAGGGTGCAGTGTGAGCAGAGAGGGTACATACAATGTGAGCAGAGAGGGTGCAGTGTGAGCAGAGAGGGTACATACAGTGTGAGCAGAGAGGGTGCAGTGTGAGCAGAGAGGGTACAGTGTGAGCAGAGAGGGTACAGTGTGAGCAGAGAGGATACAGTGTGAGCAGAGAGGGTGCAGTGTGAGCAGAGAGGATACAGTGTGAGCAGAGAGGATACAGTGTGAGCAGAGAGGATACAGTGTGA